TCCATCCATCCATCCATCCATCCATCCATCCATCCATCCATCCATCCATCCATCTATCTATCTATCTATCTATCTATCTATCTATCTATCTATCTATCTATCTATCTATCTATCTATCTATCTATCTATCTATCTATCTTTTTTAAAAAAAAGAATAGGAAAAATAACTATGTATCCCATCACAGAGGATTTATTATTTTCTTCCAGATGGGCCATGGCAGAAGGCTATGGTGCTTGCTTAATAAACAAACCAGAACTGATACAAGAGATGGTGAGATCAGTAAGAAATCAGGCAGAAAAACCCACGTTTTCGGTATCTGTTAAGATACGGTAAGCCCTTTACAGATGTATATGTGAACCGCCTTATAGGGGAGCTGGTCAGCATAAAAATTTAATTAATAAAAAGAAATAAATGTCTTTATTTAATAATAAATAATACATAAAATGTATTTTATTTATTACCTACATAAAAAAGATATTACAAATAATCAGTGAAGTATATATCTTTATTTCAGAAGGATATGATTTAGAGAAAAAAAAAATCAAGAAATGTGTATTATTCAGGAATAATAATGCAATAGCAATAGCACTTAGATTTATATACCACTTCATAGTGTTTTAAAGCCCTCTCTAAGCAGTTTACAGAGTCAGCCTATTGCCCCCCCCCAACAATCTGAGTCCTCATTTTACCGACCTCGGAAGGATGGAAGATTGAGTCAACCTTGAGCCGGTTAGGATCAAACTTCTGGCAGTGGGCAGTCAGCCTGCAATAGTGCATATATTTAAAGGGATACAGTACTCATTTTCTAAACATTTGATTTGATATGTGTCCAGCACAACAATGTGATTCATGAAATTATGCTAACATGCTACTTGATATACCCATTCTGACTACATTTTATTGATGAGAAAGTTTTTAGGGTCATGATGTGAGTTAATGTTAGTGGCCTAGGCTAAGGTCCAGTGGAAATTACTTGACTTAATAGCCCCCTGAAAGCAAGCAACATTTAGATACAACTAGCTCAAATTCCATGGATTTAGGCACAACTAATTTCTTTAAGATTAAAACCAAAATATGCCAATCCTGACCCTTATAAGCAACACTGGATGGCTATTAGTAATCCAGATGGGCGTTTTAAAGCATGTTTACCGTATTGTAAAAGTGTGTAAGTGTAAATACACATACACTTCCTACACATATATACACAAATATAGGCAATACATACATATAGCTATACGTTTCTCCCTTTCTCCCCCTTTCCATTCTTAATTCTTCACTGTATTTTCACGTTGTATTTACCTGCGAGTTACCATATTTCTCTTGTATGGAACGGAAGGATCCATGAAGATCTAAAGAGAACCGTAGACCTTTGCCAAAAAGCAGAATCAGCTGGAGTATCCTGGATCACTGTACATGGGAGAAATGTGGAAGAAAGACATCAGCCGGTGCACTACGATGCAATTAAAACAATTAAAGACAGCGTATCAATACCGGTGGCAGCTAACGGTGATGTGAAATCCCTGAAAGACGTGGAGTCCATTCATGAAAGAACAGGAGCTGATGGTGAGAACAATCTTGGTTCTTTTGAATTTCTCTTCCCAATGCTTGTTTCCAGCAATGCTGGCTGGGCTGTTGTAGGAATTGGAGTCCACATGTCTTAAAATGGCTAAAATTAGGGAACACTACACTTGCTTGTTTTAACTAGCTGTACAAGGAGCTCATGTTACATGGTATAAACTCATATTCTAAGAAATACTTTACAATGTATTTACAATTACTTTACAAATACAATGTGTTAAAAGGGTCTTTCTCCTAAATTTCTAGACTCCAGTGAAATTTAGTCAAATCTATCTCCCTCTGTTAATCTTCCGAATCTTCCAGAATGCTGCCTTTCTGCTTCTAGTATCTTCAATATTACTGTTCATCAATTTTTCCCATTCAGTGAATAACCGGCATCTTGAAACTTTTTAATAAATAAGAAAATATGACGCTCTTTAGACGGGATCTGAAAAGTCTCTAGCTCCTTGAAATGTGCATCGCCTGCAAGAGATCGATGCACAATCTATGTTCACCAATCCCTTCACATTTTGCGATCTCTTCAGCCCCCACTTGTCCAAAGTTGACAGTATACATTTTTGCCTTTTGAGGACTATCTCGCTGAGGAAAAAGATCAGGTTGATATTCTTCCAATATTTTGCAGGCCGTCAAATCCAGGACAAGACCTGCTTAGGTAGAAAGAAAGAAAAAAGTAGAAAAGAATGGATTTCGGGAGATGTATTTTTTCAGTTTTGAAATTATTTTTATCTGGTGCAAATGAGAAGATGGAACAGCTTTAATATGTTAAAAGAGATAGCTAGTTGTTTTTAATTATTATTATTATTTGTTGAGTCAGTGTTGACTTCTGACAAACTGCCTGCACAAGTCCTTGCAGTCTTGGCAAGATTCCAGATGTTGTTTGGCGTTGCCTGCTTCCTAGGGCTGAGAGTGAGTGACTGGCCCAAGATCATCTAGCTAGCTTTGTGCCTAAGGTGGGACTAGAACTCCCGGACTCCCAGTTCCTAGCCTGATGCCTTCACCATTACACTAAACTGATTGTCCAGTTGTTTATTATTGTGTTGGTTTTCTTTTTCTTTTAAAAAAAACTTTAGCACATTTTTTTATCTCTTTCACACCCACCGTAGTATCACAGTTCTGTCATTTGTATTTTCAATTTCACAAAATAAAATCAAACAGAAGGCAGATTCTAGCTAAAAGTTAGAACTTCAGAATATCAAGACTGCTTGGATGGGAGCAATCAGTTGTCCAGAGAAATAGTAGTTTTCCTTTCATTGGATGTGTTTAAACAGAGCTTAAAGAGTCATCAGTCAGGAAAGTTTTAATGAATCTTTCTGCACTAACCAGGTGTTGGGGCTTAGTGGGACAATAATCTTTTTCCAACTCCGTGATTCTGGGCATTATACATTCTGATACAGACTTAACAAAAAAAAATATTATCTTTTAGACTAGTGTTTCTCAGCTTTGATGACCTGAAGACAGGTGGACCTCAACTTCCAGAATTCTGGGAGTTGAAGTCCACTCTCTTAAAGTTGCCAAGGTTGAGAAACATTTAGACTCCTGAAAGAAAGAATTTTAAAAAACCGGTCCAATCTTTTTTCATCATCTTCTTTTCTTGTTCTACCCTACCCTTCAAATAGTACAACTGTAGCCACCATCAATGGATACCCCAAAATTATCCACTCCAGCTTTAAGATAAATATATCTTTGTGGATTTCTGAAATATATATATATATTTTTCCCTTTTCGTAGGTGTCATGGTTGCTAGAGGGCTCTTAGCCAATCCAGCTTTATTTGCAGGATATGAAGACACACCTCTGCAGTGTGTCCAGGACTGGGTGGACATAGCCCTTCAACAGGGGACCCCCTTCACCTGCTTCCACCACCACTTAATGTACATGCTGGAAAGGGTGACTTCGAAACAAGAAAAGAAGATTTTTAATGTTTTATCAAGTACGTCTGCCGTTTTGGACTACCTGAGAGATAATTATGGCGTTCGGTAGCTTGCTCAGTATATTAAATCGTGAGAAGACCAATCTTATTTTAAAATTGTGGACGTCTACGATCGTTTCTCCTACTCAGTGATTTCAGTATGTGTATTTATACAATTTTAGCACGTTCCTGTGAGCAACTTGTGAAGAAAAGCAGCAACTGTCTATAGCTTTATTCAGCCCCCATCAGCAAACTATACTTTCATGTGTGCAAACTGTGAACCATAATCTCAAGTTGGTTTGTTTTGACTGAGCAGAGTTATGGACATGGCTATAATGTGTAAAGATGCTTATTGCAATCACATATGCAGGTAGTCCTTGACATACAACCACAATGGAGTCCAAAATGTCTGTTGCTAAGCAAGACAGTTGTTAAGTGAGTTTTGCCCCATTTTATGACCTTTCTTGCCACAGCCGTTAAGTGAACCACTGCAGTTGTTAAGTTAGTAACCCGGTTGTTAAGTGAATCTGGCTTCCCCATTGACTTTGCTTGTCAGAAGGTCGCAAAAGGGACCCTGGGACACTGCAACTGTCGTAAATGTGAGCCAGTTGCCAACATCTGAATTTTGATCATATGACCATGGGGTTAATGCCATGGTCATAAAAGTGAAAAACAGTCATAAGTCACTTTTTTCGGTACCGTTATAACTTTGAACAGTCACTAAACAAATGGTTGTAAGTCAAGGACTACTTGCAATCTTCTTCTTCTTCTTCTTCTTCTTCTTCTTCTTCTTCTTCTTCTTCTTCTTCTTCTTCTTCTTCTCCTTCTCCTTCTCCTTCTCCTTCTCCTCCTCCTCCTCCTCCTCCTCCTCCTCCTCCAGTATTCTTCATTCCTTTCAGCAGAGATTACTATCTACAAACTGATTAAAAACTTCTCCTAATCATTCCAGATAATAACAATTCTTTGGGAGGAATCTACATTTGGTATATATTTGAACGATCATAGCTTGCCAAATATCCTTGATCATGCTATAGCGAATATAGTAGATTTCTGAAGAAATAAGATGTGTAAAACATGAGGCCGAAGCCCATGCTGAAGCTTTTATTCTGCAGTTTTACCCATACTTGCAAAAGTAAGACATAAGTTCATGACACTTGCTATTAAACAAACATGCATGACATTGTATTTATCAACCTATATCTGTTCAAAATTGCTTCACATACATGCCATACCCCTTAATCTTGGAATAATCCTGTTGTACAGGTAGTCCAAGACTTGCAGTCGTTTTTTTAGTGACCATTTGAAGTTACAATGGCTAGGGTTGCCAGGTCTGCTTCCAAAAAATAGCGGACAAGCGGGGGGGGGGGGTGGTTAAGTAGTAAAAAAAGTAGACTGTACAGCTTTAGATTACGTACCATTTCATCATAAAGCTTTTGAATAAAAAAAATGTCCACTATTTTGTGAAAAAAAATAGTGAACATGTGAAAAAAGTGGACCGTTCACTCAAATAGTGGACACCTCGCAACCCTAACAATGACCCTGAAAAAAAGGGACTTATGGCCGTTTTTCACACTTACAACCGTTGCAGCATCTCCAGGGTCACGTGACCAAAATTCAGAGGCTTGGCAACTGGCATGTACTTATGACGGTTGCACTGCCCCGGGGTCACGGGATCCCGTTTTGCGACCTTCTGATAAGCAAAGTCAATGGGGAAGCCAGATTCACTTAACAACCGTGTTGCGAACTTAACAACTGCAGCGGTTCACTTAACAACTGAGGCAAGGAAGGTCGTAAGATGTGGCAAAGCTCACTTAAGAACTGTTTCACTTACCAACAGAAATTTGGGGCTTAATTGTGTTTGTATGTCAAGGACTAACTGCACATGTGATTATAATAAAGCATCTTTACTACCTGTAAAGGACTACCTGTGTTTATAATTTAAGGCCTAACTTTTCTATGGGTTTCTGGGTGGAGTAATTACAACTGGTGTATGTGGAACATCAGGTTGATTAAAGCACGAATGAGCTTGTGGATGGAGAGATATAATTAATAAAGATGCACCAGAAATAGTTCTAGTTTTAATTGTACCAATCCAGGATTACCAGTTTGGGAACAATTCTGCTGTGGTTGTTGCCACCCCACATATTCCCATTCAGAGGCTCAGATTTCAAGTTACTAGTCCTCATCCTTGCCAGTTGGACAACCCCCCCTCCAGTTGGAATCCACCGGATTCCCCGAGATCCCATTGCACGTGTGAAAACCCCCCTCTATAAGGCACGGCCGGGACCCGTTTCCGTCGCTCACACACACACACACCCCACACACAAACACACACCCAACCCGGGTTCGCCAGCCACGTGGGCCGAGTTCACACGCACACGCCCACCCAACCTCCCCCGTGCGCCGAGCCCAAACCGAAGCACCCTCCGGGGAAACCTGAGGTAAATCCATCTCTTCCCCGGCCCGAAGGGGCCTTCGGGGGCCGCCGCAACCCCGGCCTGAGGGGCCGAAAGAGGCCCGCGGCTTTTTCCCGCCCTTCCCCGGAATGGGAGTATTAGCCGTGGAAGGAGGACTTCGCTCGGGCTGGCCTGACAGGAAAGCCCGGGCTGAGGCGGAGGCAGCGGCCGCCGGGGGTGACGCGGGAAAAGCGCGGCTAGTCTGGGAGCGACTGGCCGCGCGGCTCTTCCCGGCCGAGTTGGGGCCGTTGGACCCGGCGGAGTCGGGTGGCTGTGCCGGCCTGAGGAGAGGGGCTTTGCTTCGGTCCCCGGCCGAGACGGAGCTAACGGGGCTTCCCTCCTCAGGAGCGGCGAAGGCGGCGGGTCCCCCTCAGAGGCGCCATGACCTTCCAGTGGAGCGCCGTGGCCGCTTTTCTCTACGGCGAGATCGCCTTGTTGCTCCTGCTCTGCCTGCCGCTTGTCTCGCCCGTGAGGTAAAATCGAGGCCGGCCGGGCCTGCTTTGGCGGGGTGGGGGGGCGGGGCGGTAAGAAAAATAAAGCCCTGAGGCAATTTTTTTTCTTTTTTTTTTCTTTCCCCCTCCTCGGCTGGTTGATTATAAACTGAATTGAGTTTTATTTATTTTTTTTGTTGGGGGGAGCTGAGGAGAGAGAAGCCGTTGATGTGGGTTGGTTTGCGGGGGGGGGCTTTTAAAATGGGGGCTTGACATTATATCTAATTAAAAAAAAACTCGATAAGCAAAGTACATATCTGATTTTTTTACATGTGATAACAGCGGCCAGAATTATTACATTCGCAGGTTATTGGAAGAAGGAAGAAATGCCAGCAGAAGAAGAAATAATGAAAAAAAAAACTAGCCTGTGAGGAAATGGACAGGCTTACTTTAAGGATGAAATAAAAAAAAAGAAGAAGAAACAGAATATTTTCAAACTTGGGACCTGTTTTATCGATGGTTAGAGAAAAGGTTTAGGGATTAGGAATTTAATTTGTATTTGTGAATAAGATGCTCAGACAACACGTTTTTTGTTGAGTGGTTACTATTGAATTCTGTTAAAAAAAAATCAGTAAAACTTTATAAAATGAAATAAAATGAGGGCTTGATCTTGGTCCGTTCTGCTGCGGTTTTCAGCCTTTTCCAAGGTTTTCAGCCTTTTCCAAGGCTTCCCCCGACATTTACAGGTGGTCCTCGACTTACAACAGCTCGTTTAGTGACCGTTCAAAGTTAAAAACGGCACTAAAAATGTGGCATATGACCATTTTTCACAATTAGAATCGTCCCCGCACCCGCATGATCAAAATTCTGAGGCTTGGTGACTGACTCGTATTTATGACGGTCGCAGTGATCCCGGAGTTACGTGATCTCCTTTTGCGACCTTCTGACTAGCAGAGTCAATGGGGAAGCCAGATTCACTTAACGACCGTGTTGCTAACTTATCCAGTGCAGTGATTCACTTAACAAGTATGGTGAGAAAAGTCGTAAAATGGGGCAAAACTCACTTAACAAATGTCTCGCTTAACAACAGAAATTTTGGGTTCAGCTGCGGTCGTAAGTCATCACTGGGGGCTTTCAAGAAGAGACTGGACTGCCACCTGTCAGAAATGGTGTAGGGACTCCTGCTCTTTGCAGGGGGTTGGACTAGATGACCTACAAGGTCCCTTCCAACTCTGTTATTCTATTCTATTCTATTCTTTCCTATTCCTATTCTATGTCAAGGACTACCTGTAGTTCATTCTATACAGGTAGTCCCCGACTTATGACCAAAATTTCTGTTATTCAGCAAGACAGTTGCAAACTGAGTTTTGTCTCATTTTACGACCTATCTGGCCACTGTTGTTAAGAGAGTATGGTCTAAAATCTATGTTGCTAAGAGAGACATTTGTTAAATGAGCTTTGCCCCATTTTATAACTTATCTGGGCACATTTGTTAAGAGTGAATCACTGCAGCTGTTAAGTTAGTAACCCAATTGTTAAGTGAATCTGGTTTCCCCATTGACTTTGCTTGTCAGAAGGTTGCAAAAGGGGATCATGTGACCCCGGGACACTGCAACCGTCATAAATATGAGTCAGTTGTCAAGCGTCTGAATTTTGATCACCTGACCGTGATGCAGCAGTCGTTAAGTGTGAAAAAATGGTCATTGGTCCCGTTTTTTAGTGCCCTTGTGACTTCAAACAGTTACTAAGTTGTAACTGTTGTAAGTCAAAGGACTATCTGTACAAGTCGGTTGCCAAGCAACTGAGTTTTGATAACGTAATGGGGATGCTGCAATGGTCAAAAGCAAATGTTTATAAGTCAAGGACTTATAATGGCCCTGCCTACACCAATAATACACATGTATTATTGTGCTTGATATTTTGTCAGCAACGTATTCTCTGGATTTTAATACCTAGCTTGCTAATACATAGTAAGTTCCTTTCTCTCTACCTCATTTTTCTAGCCAATGATAAAAGGTATCCCATGTTCTAAAATAAACTGAGTCTTCTTTCTCTTTCATTTTCAATATCAATCTATCCATTTCTGCACACTCTTAAGATTTTTTTATTTAACACTTCCTCCGTTGGTAGATCTTCGTTTTTCCAATATTGAGCGAATACAATTCTTGCTGCAGTTAATATATGTAAAATTAAATATATACACTCATAATTTTCTACAATTATGCCTAACAAAAGCTAATTCTGGCTTAAACACTCTATATTTTTTCTTCATTTTCTCTCACCATGTATGTATTCTTAACCAAAAACTTTTGGCTTTAAAGCATGTCCACCAAAGATGGTAAGTCAAAATGCGGGCATCTCCCTTATAAATTCTACAGAGCTAAATCTGACTGATTTAACCCAAAATATTTCAGTTGGCTAGGGAATTCTGGGAGTTGCCAAGTCTTAAAAGTTACCAAGGTTGGATATCCCTAATCTAAAGTATGGGCAGGCACGCAGCTGGAAAAAGGTAGTCATGGAGATGGCTGCGTGCTGAACATTTTCATGTAATTTTTATATCCTTCCCATGTTATTGGCAAGTGCTTGAAAAGTAATTTGGGCAAGTTTGTGATGTATACTTAAAATGCCTATGTAATGGAATGTTCCTATATTAATTCTTTGAAATGTATTTCTGTTTTATAGATGGAACAAATTTTTTATGATCTCTGTATGGAATAAAATTGCAAGCTATTGGAACAAGGCATTCCTTACTATTATAGTCATATTAATTGTTTTATTTCTTGGTAAGTAGAAAATCAATTTTGCATGTGGCTCTTAATATGAACAGGCTGTGAAAGCAAGTGTGGAGATTGCCTTTACAGCCTAAAGATTGATTTTGCTGCAGATGGGGCAATATATCTTACAAAACCCAAATGAATTAAATAAGAGGCAAGTGTTGTTTTCCCATTATCAGATAGTAAAACTTAAATAAGATTGACATAGAACATCTATTGGAATATTTATGGAAGAAGGGGTTTTTTTGTTTAAGAATCAGCAGGTGGCACTCTTTCTTTCTACTGTACAATGGTTACTTTTGAATTGTTATGAGAAAAACAGCTAGAGAGTTTCTGGAGATGGATTTATTTAGGACAATTTTTCTCACTGTAGTGGTTGCTAGAAATTTGTATTGCAAGTCTCACCACTTGCTGCCAGCATGTTCAGTAGCCCGGATTAAGAGATTCATTGCCCATAATACTTGGAGAACATCAGGTTAGGAAAGGCTGCTTTAGAAGAACTGCACAAAACTTTTGTGCTTTGTTCTTCTTCGAGGATCGTTCTAAAACAATTGCTAAATATTATATTGATTTTATTTCCAGTTATGAAAAAATAAGACCTACCCCAAAAATAAGCCCTAGCTTGATTTTTTTGGGTGGTCCTAATATAAGCCCTACCCCAAAAATAAGTGAGGAACACACCTAAAAAGCTGAGGGGGTGGAGCTGCCCCACGTGCCCCTCACCCATTTACCTTGCAGCCAGGCCTCTACTCGCCAGCCCATTTCTTCTCTGGGGTCCCCAGGCCTGCATTTTATAGTCAACGGGCCTTTCTGAAAGGCCTCTGCAGCTGACAACCGAGCTATAGATTGAATCCATTGCTCGGTTCTCGGCTGCAGAGGCCTTCCGGAAAAGCCTGTGACTGCGAAATGCAGGCCAGAGGTCCATTTTGAGCGGCAGAATGAAGCAGCTCCTTTGGCCGTAGAAGAAGTGGGCCAGCTGGGCGGTGCTGTCGGTGCTGGAGGTGAGTGGAAAAGACACACACACACACACACACTCTTTTGGAGGCATATAAGACCGGGTCTTATTTTCGGGGAAACACGGTAGATTAATAGATACCACTTAATAATAATAATAATAATAATAATAATAATAATAATAATAATAATAATAATAATATAATAATAATAATAATAATAATAATAATAATAATAATAATAATATAATAATAATAATAATAATGTTAAAGTTGGAAGGGACCTTGGAGGTCATCTAGTCCAACCCCCTGCTCAGGCAGGAAACCCTATACCAGTGGTGGCGAACCTATGGCACGGGTGCCAGAGGCGGCACTCAGAGCCCTCTCTGTGGGCACTCGCGCCGCCGTCGACCCAGTCCTAGGCTTTCAGCTGGGTTTTATAAAACCCTTTCGCTTTAGGCCTCCGCCACCATGTACAAAAAAAAAGGTTCAATCAATCAGTCAATTTCAACTTCTCGGGGGAAAAAAAGATCTTGCAAAGTTGGAATTGATTGATTGAACTTTTTAGTCCCACCCAGTCTGCCGTTACCACCACAGCCACGCCCACCCAATGGGCCACACCTACCCAATGGGCCACACCCACCCGGCACCCGACGATGCATAAGTGGGTTTTGGGTTGCAGTTTGGGCACTCGGTCTCTAAAAGGTTCGCCATCACTGCCTTATACCATTTCGGACAAATGGCTGTCCAGTTTCTTCTTAAAAACTTCCAGTGTTGGAAGTTTTTGGTGGAAAGGTAACAGCATTCTGTGTGCCTTTGGTGTTTAGCCATGCTGTCCACATGACCCTGGAAAGTGTCTTCAGACAATGCTGGCTCCCTCAGCCAAGAAACTAAGATGAGCACTGTGCTGACACACTTGTGGTCAGCCAAGAAACTAAGATGAGCACACACACTTTATATAGAGATAGATAGATAGATAGATAGATAGATAGATAGATAGATAGACAGACAGACAGACAGACAGACAGACAGACAGATAGATAGTAGATAGATAGTAGATAGACAGATAGATAGATAGATAGATAGACAGATAGATAGATAGTAGATAGACAGATAGATAGATAGATAGATAGATAGATAGATAGATAGACAGACAGACAGACAGACAGACAGACAGATAGATAGTAGATAGACAGATAGATAGATAGATAGATAGATAGATAGATAGACAGACAGACAGACAGACAGACAGATAGATAGTAGATAGACAGACAGACAGATAGATAGATAGACAGATAGATAGATAGTAGATAGATAGTAGACAGATAGATAGACAGACAGACAGACAGACAGACAGACAGATAGATAGATAGATAGATAGATAGCCTTTATTATACAAATTCACTATTTGAAGTATGTAACTGTAAAGTTAATTTCATATTCAAATGTCTAAGGAAGCCTATGTACTTTATATTTCATTTCAGTAGCTATTCATTTTAATGCTTAAATATAAATCTATTTTCTGAGGTCCGATGATTAAAATGTGGTATTGGCAGAAGAGATACATACCGAACTAGCAGATAACAGAAGACAATAGGAAGCAGGTGCAGTTAATACATGTGCGCATTTATGCTCCCAGATGCAGTAAGGGAGGTGAGGAAATACTCGGCTGTGCATTTGAGTGAAGACACCAGCCATTCCAGCCCCACCGCATTTGATCACCTCCATATGAAACTTTTTAGATCGCAACGAAATCTTTACATATCAGGATTTTCCCTCTTTCTTTGGCTGTAAGTATAAGCATGCGTACTAGCTTAAATATATGAACTGGATAAGTGAGAGTAAAAAAAAGAACAGCAGATCTTCATGGATACAACTAATACATATTAATCAAGTGGATTATATTAAAAGAAAATTGTTCTTGGTTTTTAACTTTAAAAACCCCTCTGTCTTCTGAACTGGTACAGTCTTCTTAAAATAGTGTTGTGTTTCAGAAGGCAGCGATAGAACAATTGATTGAAAAGACTGCTCACGCTATATTTAGTTTCTCTGTGTTTGGAACACTTGCCATTAAATTTCTTGAGAGGAAATAAATCATGATGCTGCTTTCAAGTAAATAATTCTATATATTGGACTATCCAATACAAAGCTTCTGAGATGTGTAAGTAAGAGACACAGGCAAGGAATGCTGTTTATGCTGCGTTTCATCCTTCAGGCCCCATTTTTTAATATATTGAATTTTATCCTCTCGTGAATTGATCGAGCGTTCTTTCAATTCAACAGCCACTTTATCTATACAGGTAGTCCTAGACTTACAATAGCTCATTTAATGACCAGTCAAAGTTATAATGGCACTGGAAAAAGGGAGTTATGATCATTTTTTACACATGCAAATATTGCAAAATCCCCATGGTTAAATGTAATCAAAATTTGGATGCTTGGCAACTGGTTCGTATTTATGACGGTTGCAGTGTCCCGGCGTCACGTGATCCCCTTTTGCGAGCTTCCGACAAGCAAAGTCAATGGGGGAAGCCGGATTCACTTAACAACCATATTACTAACTTAATAACTGCAGAGATTCAGTTAACAATCTGTGGCAAGAAAGGTCATAAAATGGGGCAAAATTCACTCAACAACTCTGTCGCTTAGCCACAGAAATTTTGGGCTCATTTGTGGGTGTAAATCGAGGACTACCTGTACTTCACATTTACATCTCCTGCATGGGGATCAAACTTGTTCAGCATTTGGGTTGCAGACCAAAGCCAAAATGGAAGGTATTAAATTTTTTAAAAAATGTAAAATTTCAGTCCAAATTTAATAGCAAATGCATTGTAATTCATCAGGAAGTTTTAGCAAATAATTGCTGAAGCATTTGAATATTCAGGATACCGCACAGCAGTAAAGTCTGATAACTAATTTAAAAAAAAACCCCATTAAAGTATTGTTTCTTTTAATTTTAAATCCGTTTTAACGTCCTTATAAAAAGTGAAGCATTTCCTCTGCTTTTTTCATAGAAACTTAATGAAAATGATTATCAGTGGATGCTTGGGCTGTGCTGATGAATTAGTGATTTTTAAATTTTGTTTTGTTTCCCGTAGCGTCCTAAGACGTCTTGTTTCTCTTATCACTTTATTGGCGAACGAGATGGAAACGGAGAATATTCTGAAAACAGAAGTAGCAAACAGCAACGAAGTCGCCCGGAAGTGCTTGGAAGAAAACGAAAAATTGCAGCTGGTACGTTTGCTGGCTCGCAGGTTTCGTTTCTGTATTAATTGCATCTCTTTCACAAGAGTTTCATTTGTAGACTTCCCTCTCACGGCCTGTGTTTCTTACGATTCTTAGAAGACCTCACAAGACGTAATGCCCTTAGTTCATCAGCCGTGCCTGTTTTTACAGGACCTCCATCCTTTAGTTAAAAAAAACATTTGCTGTAAATACCAGTGAGAAAAAAGCAATAGCACTTAGACTTATATACAGCTTCCTAGTTCTTTACAGCCCTCTCTAAGCAGTTTACAGAGTCAACACACTGCCCCTGGGTCCCTATTTTACTGACCTCAGAAGGATGGAAATTCAAAATTAGCATGAGAAATCAAAATGAAAATCAAAATTACACATTTGTGCAACGTGCCAGCTTTGGCTGAAGTGTCACAGTTTGGTTAATGAGCTTAGTATAGAGTGAATTACTTAATCTAAAAGCATCTCCAAGATAATCAAGTTCCTCCCAC